CTGCTTAAGTGACTGACGGTCACCGCGTGTGTGCAGAGGATGGCCTGCTGGCGTCAGGGTGGCTGGGCGCAGACCGGGCGGGAGGCCTGGGGAGGCTCAGGACGGTGTGGGTCGGTTAGTGGCGTAAGCTCAGAACTGCCAGCCTCGGAAATCACTCAGAATTCTTGCACACGGGTGTGAATCCGAGATGGTCCCAGTAAGATACGTTTTTATATGCAGATGAGAATTATTTGGATAGGAAGGCTAAATTTCTTCTAGGATTTAGTTGGATTTTAATTTGTGTATTCAAATTCATAAATTCTCTGCTGATCACTTCTGTAAATAACGGAAAATGGTGGGTTTATCTCAACAGCTAAAGTCCTTGGGCTATCTGTGCGGACTTGTGTCGGAAAAAGGACCTAACTCAGAGGACCTCAACAGGACAGTTGACCTTCTGGCAGGTTTGGGAGCTGAGCGACCCGAAACAGGTACTTCTGGACGTGTGTCTGTGCACTGGCACGGTGGACAGTGACGAAGACGTCGCTTGCATCTTGCCACATTTAATTCATATTCTGACGGTGTAATTGCTCCCATTTGGGAGATTGTGCTCCTTGTTAGCTGACCAGGTTAACACACAGAGTGTTTTACCATTTAATAGTGTCAAGAAATGTTAGAGATAGCGTAAGAAATTGGAAGGATTTTAAAAAACGTTTCTGAGTTTCTCATAGGCTTGAATGAGCGGATCATGACTTTTTACAGCCTGTGTGGAGTCAAAATGCACCAGTCTCCCTCTGAATTAACAGGGGACCTAGTTTCCTAACAGTATGGCCAGAGAAATCCTTTTACTCGGTAAACTACTCCTAGGTCATAAAGCCCTTTGAAAGGAGCCTTCCCGATTCTTGGAGGTGTGAACCGAGACGTAAGAGTGTGATTTAGCCAAAGCCTTGCTGAGGTCTGGCCCGCGGGCAGACCGAAAGTATCCGGCGGGCCGTGCGGTGTTCACATTCCACGGTGACCACTTGGGTGAGACCACTTCCGATCGTCGTGGAAGTGATGGAATTAAAAACTCTGGTCTCAGTCAAGAATGAAACACCACGTGAAGGGTTCCAGACTATTTCGTGACTGTATTGCTTGGACAAGCACGGAAGTAGGGATGGAGTTCTGGGGGGCACGGCTGTTTGTGGGTCCACAGGCAGCAGGTGCAGGTGAGTGCCTCTCCCCGTGGCATTTGAGGGTGACTGTAGACCTGACGGGCAACTGGTGATGTAGAATGCAAGTGGCTTCTGTGTAAGTGATTGGCGGTCACCCCATGTGTGCAGAGGATGGCCCATGGGTCAGGGGTGGTCCGGGCTAGCAGATCTGGAGGGCCGGCTCATTCGTGTGACATGACGCGTGTGTTGGAGTTAGTTAGACTGCCAGGGACCGGCAGAGATACTACCAGAATTCTTTTTTTTTTTTTTTTTTTTTTTTCAACGTTTTTTTTTTTTTGGGACAGAGAGACAGTACATGAACGGGGAGGAGTAGAGAGAGAGGGGAGACACAGAATCGAAACAGTTCTAGGCTTCTGAGCCAGAATGCTCAGAGTGATGCGCGGCTCAAATCATGGGACTCGCGAGATCGTGACCTGGCTGAAGTCGGACGCTTAACCGACTGCGCCACCCAGGCGCCCCAGAATCACTCAGAATTCTTACACACAGGTGTGGATGAATAAGGATGAAAAAGGACCGAGGGTAAATAAGAACTCTTATTTCTTTTTAAGCCAACACAGCTCAGAGTCCTTATAAGAAGCTCAAAGAAGCATTATCATCAGTAGAAGCTTTTGAAAAACACTACTTAGTAAGTATTACAAACGATACCTGTCTACCCACGGCCCAAGGCTGTCTCCAGAAGGCTCTGTTGACCTTGGGGCTGAGAATGGGATAGTGTTCGGGACCTCCTCCTTGTGGGCCTTTTCCACTTCCTGGCGGGTGCCCTAGGGAGCTACGGGTGACACCCAGGATAGTTGCTGTTCATTAAATGTGCATTGGTATCCATGGTGCCATAATTAGGCATGAAAGCATCTTTGGATGTTTATAATTTTGTTCAGAGTGATACTGCGCGTTCGATGCAATAGAAATTGTAAGAGAGGCTAATGAATGGTTTTGTGCATACCAGAAAATACAGTAGACTTGAACAAATCTATTGTGCTTCATTTTAAAAGATTTCGATTTGGAGAGACCGTAGGAAGCGCAGTGTAGGTAGGAGCTTGGTGGGCCAGCCGGACTCCTGACTTGCAGGTAACTTGGGAGCATTTGATAGAGCGTTTTTGTCCCTATTGTCCAGAAAGTGAGAAAAATACTAAAAATGTTACCCTATATGGGAAGTACTTTGAGAAGTTAAATATTCTATGCCTGCTGAGTTCCTATTTCTTTTATCATTAGGCTTCATAATTCACGTACAAGTTGATGACTTTGCATAAGTCACACATTACATAAAAACGCAGCACGACGATAGACGTAAACAGTGATGTCGTTAACAGCGAAGTCTTTCGCTTCAGTGCTGGGCAGATCCGTGGGGGGTTGCCCAGTGATCAACTACGGGCTCATGCGGATTTCCGCTTTCCCGCAGGATCTGTCGCACGCGGCCATCGAAATGCACACGAGCATCGGAAGGCTCCGGTCTGCTAAGTTTGTTGGGAAGGACCTGGCAGAGTTTTACATGTAATTGAATTTGAAATTTTCTTTGAGTTTCAGACATTTCACACACGTACTGAGAATGTCAGGTATGGGGTTAATACGAAGCGTACATAAATGTGTAGAATGAAAAATGTAGAATACGTCAACCGATCATTTATCAGGTGTTTTTTTCTGTTTCTTCTAAAAACCAAATGGAGAGATTCCTCAGCCTGTTACTCTTAATATCTGTGTTTCTTTGTGATCTCTCTGTGATCTTTGTGTTTCTTTAATTAAATTAGTGTAACGTAACTATATACGCAGGTGGTATACGTAACATCTATGGTATGTAATAACTTTACTTAATGAAAGAGTTATGAGGAAATGGTTAGAAATCTATATCCAGTGGCATAAACTGGGATACCGATTCGTAAGTATTTTGTTATATAGCATTTTCCCTAGTTACCTCAGTTGTCTTCTGGGAAGATGGACAGCCTCGAGGTCAGTGATGTCAACGTCCAGGAGAGTGGGGTGCTCGTGGCGGGTTGAGGGGCGGTGTGCCTGGTGCAGACTGGCGCCAGCTTTGGAGTCGAAAAGACTCCGCGGATTTCTCACATGGCTGATGAAATCGGCCCTTCGAGGAGCTGGCGGTGTGCTTGCTATTTGAGCCCTGGAGAGGGATGTAAATCCTAAGGGAAAAGACGGTTAAGTTTGCCTAAATGTGTGTTTGAGACGCTATCTTGAAATCTGTCATTAAGAAAGTAATTTTATTAGCCGAAACCAGAAAAGATAACTTACTTTCACTGATTAAAGTGGCCGCAGAGGGCTTCGTAAATCGTCTGAGGGACTTCCTAGTTTTCCACACGCGCTTGTAGCCGCTAGCCAGTCACACACCTGAGGACAGGGCGAGAGTGTGGCACTCCTGAGCCTCCATCTAGTAAATCTGAGGACTGAGTTTTTAGTTGTTGGAGCGAAGAGGCCGCCCCCTCGGATGCTGTGAGCCGAGCCCCCCCTGTACACCGGCTCTGGCGAGGCCGGGAGCTCCAGCGGGCTGGCGCTGGTCCGCCCAGAGGCTCGGCTCCCGGCCCCTGCTTGCCGCAGGCTCGCTGGGGGGGCCGCTGGCCTCCGTGTCCGGGGGCTGGGCGCTGGCCTGTAGACTGCCTGCTCTAGAACATGAGAATCTTTGGCTAGAGATAGTAACTGAAGAAGTATTAAAGGTTCTGACCCCTTTGAAACACGGGGACGTAGGAATGCCAACGTGCGTCGTTTGATAGCTTACAAATTTACGTGATTTGAGAATTTGAGAACCTTACTTCTTCAAGAGTAGGCTAGTCAACACTGGAAGGTCTCCCAAGGGTGCCTAGAGCGGACGAGTGCTTGTTCCGCGCTGGCCTTTGTCTAGCGAGCTCAGGAGAGCCCGGACCCTCCAGGGAAGGACCCTCCGTGTCGTCACCGAGGCTTTGGCAAGCTCTCCTCAGTTGTGCCCTGTTTTACTCTAAACATCTTGAAGGTTTAAACTGGGACTGGAAGATCCTCTTGGGCGATGTGTGTTGCTATTTAAATTCTTCCGGGTTCTCTGTAAATCTCCAAGGCCTGGCGAGGGCCGTTTGCCCGAGTTTCAGAGCCTGTCCGAGCTCCCTCTCAGTCAGGCTGTACGGACCGCTTCTGCGTGTGCCCGTCTTTAGCAGGTGCTGTGGCACCGACACGGGTGGACACGGGCGTCAGCGCTTCCTGGCCAACCAGCCGCGTCCCCGTGGATGAGTCCTTCACCTCGCCTCGCCCTTGGCCTTCCCACGCGTCCTGCTCCCGTGGGGAGCGCCAGAGAGGGACTCAGACGGCACAGCGTCGGTGCAGAGGGCGGCGGGCAGGGCGGGATTGTCATGAACCATGACGAAAGCTTCTGTGTGTTGGTTTGCAAGGAGGAAAAAGTCTCCACAGAAGGCGGAAGTGTACCTTCAGGGAGCACTGAAGAACTACCTGGCTGAGGGCTGGGCGCTGCCCATCACTCACACGAGGAAGCAACTCGCCGAGTGTCAGAAACACCTTGGACAGACCGAAAAGTATCCTTTGGGTTTAATATTCCCCGCGAAATAGGAGACTTGCTTTCTGTCCGTACGAGCAGCGGGGCCCACGGTGAGCGTTTGGCAGACACCCAACGGCGAAGAGAGGAGAAGCCCGCCTCGTGCTCACGGACCGGGCCGCCTGTAAGTTAGGGGCCTGGTCGGCACGTCTCACGTCTGTCCTGGAGCTCCTGATAACGTAGGCCCCGAGGAGACTCCGCGCCGGGCTGCACGTGGAGGCTCTGGGGACCGGGAGCCCCTGGTGCCGGTGCCGCTGGGGGAGTGGGGCCTTTTCTCAGATCCTTGACTCTCCTCCAGCTACCTTCAGACCAGTAGCCTTTTGGCCAGCGATCACCACCTGACTGAGGACGAACGGAAGCACTTCTGCCGGGAGATACTCAGCTTTGCCAGCCGACAGACGGACAGCCCAGGTCAGACCCGCTCTTTGCGGGGAGGGGCGGGGGGTGCTTTCAAGAACCTCACTTTTGAAAACCCGCTTCGCGCTGAAGCAGAGTTGGCGCACGGCGTTCTAGTAGTTTCGGGTGTGGGCGTGGCGATTCAGCGGTTCTCTGCACACTCTGTGCTCGTCACGACAAGTGTGCTCTTCATCCCCGCCCCTCCCGCCTCCCTTCTGGCGACCACCAGTGTGTTCTGTATTTAAGAGGTCTTTGTCTCTTTTCCGTTCGTTCGTTTTGTTTCCTCCTTTTTATTTTGAGAGAGCGAGAGAGAGAGCATGAGCAGGGGAGGGGCAGAGAGAGAGGGGGAGAGAGAAGCCCAGGCAGGCTCCGCACTGTCAGCACAGAGCCCGATGTGGGGCTCGAACCCACGAACCGTGAGATCGTGACCTGATCCGAGATCAAGAGTCAGACGTGTAACCGACTGAGCCACCCAGGCGCCCCTGTTCTGTTTCTTAAATTCCACATATGAGTGAAATCGTGGTATTTGTCTCATTTCTTTCTGACAGATACTCAACTTGACCAGCTGACAGCCCTGGTCAGACTCACTTTTAAAACTTCTCCTTGTAGGGGCGCCTGGGTGGCGCAGTCGGTTAAGCGTCCGACTTCAGCCAGGTCACGATCTCGCGGTCCGTGAGTTCGAGCCCCGCATCAGGCTCTGGGCTGATGGCTCAGAGCCTGGAGCCTGTTTCCGATTCTGTGTCTCCCTCTCTCTCTGCTCCTCCCCCGTTCATGCTCTGTCTCTCTCTGTCCCAAAAATGAATAAACGTTGAAAAAAAAAATTAAAAAAAAAAACAACTTCTCCTTGTGAAAACTTTCAAATACTGTAGGAAAGTAAAAAAATAACACAGTATATAACACAGGCTACCCACCTAGATTCAGCAGCTGTTAACTTTTGCCATGTGGCAAACATGTATCTGTATCTTTCTTTCTGCTGAACTTGGCAGTGACTCCAGACCACATGACACACTTCACCCTGAAACTGCTTAGCGCGGCCTTCTGAAATCAAGGGTACCCCCAGCCACCCAAAGAGCAAGGTTCTGACTTCAGCTACTAAGTGGTCTATATTCAAATCTTCCTAAATGGTGCAAAAGAAATGTTTTTATAAAGTATTTTTAGTAGAGTCCAGTCAGGGATCACAAATTGCATTTGATTGTTATATCTCACTTCTCTTTTAATTACTTTTTACTTTTTTATTTTTTGAGGGAGAGAGAAAGCGTCAGCAGGGAGAGGGACAGAGGGAGAGAGAATCTCAAGCCGGCTCCGCGCTGTCCGTGCAGAGCCCGACACGGGCTTGATCTCGCAATTGTGAGCGCGTGACCCGAGCCAAAATCGAGTTGGATGCTCAACCAACTGAGCCGTCAGATACCTCACTTCTTTTTTAATTTAGAACAGTTCTTCCTATCTCTTTTCCTTTTTTTAATATGCTGTTTTTAATATACCAGCTTTATGGAGACACAATTCACCCATTTGCAGCGTACAATTCAGTGGCTTGTAGAATATTCATAGATATGCACGGCCATCGCCATACAGTGAATTCTAGAACATTTTTGTCTCCCCCAAAAGAAGCCTCATACTTATTTCTCCCAGCCTTCCTCCTACCCCCACCCCTGGCAACCACTGATCCACTTTCTATCTCTGTAGATGCCCATTCTGAGTATTTCACGTAAATGGAGCAACCACACGTAGTCCTTTGTGACTAGCTCATGTCCCTGCGCGTCACGTTTTTAGCACTCATCCATGTCGCAGCCCGTGTCGGTGCTTCCTTCCTTTTCGTGGCTGAAAGTAGTCCTTGTATGGATGGACCGCACTCTGTTTATCCCTTTGTCCACTGTGTGACATCTGGGTTGTAAGATGCTGACCTTTTAAAGGCATCGAGCCCATTGTCTCACAGGCTCCCCACCTTGTGGAATTTGCTGAGTGTTTGCTCAAGGGAGCATCACCTAGGAAGGTAGGTCTGAAAGGCTTAGATTTAGGCCAGAGATTCGGCAGATCATTTCATAAGTGGTGCTGTGTGGTGAGGTTAAATTTATTGTAACATTTAGCTCCTCGTGTTTAGTTTTTCAAGAAGAGTGCTCATTTAAGATGGTTGCTGCCTTAGTCCACTTAGACTGCCATAGCAAAATGCCTCACGCCAGATGCTTAAACAACAGACATTGTTTCTTGCAGTTCTGGAGGCTGGACGTCCAAAGTCAGGGTGCCAGCAAGGTTGGTTTCTGATGAGGCTTGTCTTCCTGACGTGTCTTTACGTGGCAACAGGAGACAGAAGTGGGGTGGGAGGGGCAGGGTGGAGAGGGGTGGGGGGGAGGGCGAGGGAGGGGGAGAGCTCGCTCTACTGTCTCCTGATAAAGACACTAACGCTTCATGACCTCATCCAAACCTCATCATCTCCTAAAGGGCCCATGTCCACGTACCATTGTACTGGGGGCTAGGACTTCCACTTAAAAAGGGGGACCACAGTGGGACCCCTGAGGGCTTAGTCAGTTAAGCTTCTGACTCTTGAGCTCAGGTCACGATCTCACAGTTTGTGGGATTGAGCCCCATGTCAGGCTCTCACTGACAGCACGGATTCTCTCTCCCTCTCTCTCTGCTCCTTCCCCGCTCATGTGCATGCACTCTCTCTCTCTCTCTCTCTCTCTCACTCTCAAAGTAAATACACTTAAAAAAGAGGATGGGGTTGACCACAGTGCAGTCTATAGCAGTTTTTAAGTACTTGAAAGCCAGTGTTTCCAAAGATTTTGGCTTCAGGTAGGTAGATATACGGTTGTTGATTGCTGGGGTGCATTTCACTCAAATTGAGCTATCTGGATGGTTTCTCAGGAGCAACATGGCATTGGTTTGTTTGTGTTTTTTTAGATTCTTTTTTTTTTTAAATTTTTTTTTTTAACGTTTATTTTTGAGACAGGGAGAGACAGAGCATGAACAGGGGAGGGGCAGAGAGAGAGGGAGACACAGAATCCGAAGCAGGCTCCAGGCTCTGAGCTGTCAGCACAGAGCCCAACCCCGAGGCTCGAACTCGGGAACCATACAATCATGACCTGAGCCAAAGTCGGACGCTTAACCGACCGAGCCACCCAGGCGCCCCTTTTAGATTCTTTAATGTGCCCCAAATGGTCATTGGCAGAGCCATGTGCCACGTCTGCTTTATGTGACACGTATGTGAGACTGCACAGGCACGCCTCCTGCCAGCATTCCTTGACGATGTCTTTGTAGGACTGAGATAGTCTATGATTGACCACTTGTGCTTCCTTTCCTTCTCTCCTTCCTTCCTTTTAATTAAAGTTTATTTATTTATAATTTATAGTTAAAAGGGAGAAAGAGAGCACATGTATGAGAGCTGGGGAGGGGCAGAGAGAGAGGAAGAGAGAATCCTAAGCAGGATCCGTGCTGTGCTGTCAGCGTGGAGCCCGACGTGGGGCTGGAGCCCATGTTCCGGGAGATCGTGACCTGAGCCAAAATTCAGAGCCAGACACTCGGCCGACTGAGCCACCCACGCCGCCCCTCAAGTGCTTTTAGAACATTAATCTCCGCAAGTCTTTCCTTAAGTTGATTAGTGTTTAATAGACTTACCAGTCTGGCAGCCTTGTACATTTTCTGGCAAACCAGAAAGAAGGCCAGAGAGTACAGCGGGTTCTCCCGCTTAGTAACTGGGAGGCTGTGGCCTCGCTGCCCTCTGGGGGTCCAGGGCACAGGGCTCCCCACTGGCTGGTTTCATAGGCTGGCAGGCACCTGGGTTTATTTCCAGATATATGGGGGGAACGTGGGCGTCTTTACTTAAGAATTTCTTTTTGTTGAGAATTTTCTTTATGTAGGTGGGAAAGCGGTGGAGTGCTTTGAAACAATTCTAATAATTGGACTATTTATAAATACCGTTTTGAAATTCAGGGGTTAATTGACCTGTTTTTCTCTTAGGTTTGCCAAAACAGAGCTTACAGACCTTGATTTCTTCACATTTTGTGACTTCCAGGAGTTATCTGGGCATGTGTTTATGCTCCCCTTTTGACCAAATACCTCGTTTAGCTGTGTGAAGACGGCGCGGGGCCGGGGGGGTTTACGCCGTCCCCTCTGAATAGCGTCGCTTCCTGCTTCTCGTGCCCGGTAGCGACCGAGGCCCCGCCGCCTGCAGGCAAGCCAAGGTGAGACCTGGCGACTAACTCGTGGTAATGTGCGTTTACAGGTCAGAAAATAGTGCTCCCTCTGCACTGTTTTGCACAGCTGAGAGACCTCCATTTTACCCCTTCCAACGCCGTGGTCCACGTGGGGGGGGTTCTGTCCGTGGAGATCACCTTGTGCAGCCAGATGCCCATGCCCGTCCACGTGGAGCAGGTCGCCATCAACGTCCACTTCAGCATCGACAGAAACAACTACCGCAAGACCGCCGAGTGGCTGACCAAGCACAAGACGTCCAATGGGACCATTAACTTTCCGCCAGAGACCTCGCCTCTCCCCGCACCGCAGAACGACTTACCCGCGCTGGAGTTGTATGAGATGTTTGAGAGAAGTCCTTCGGACAATTCCTTGAACACAACGGGGATTATATGCAGGAATGTTCACATGCTCCTGAGAAGGCAGGAGAGCAGCACTTCCCTAGAAACGTCCTCCGGTGTGGCTCTGGAGGACGGGGCCCATGTGCTGAGATGTAGCGGTGTGACTCTGGAACCGGGGGCCAATAGGATAACGTTCAAGACGCAGGTACGTGTCGAGGTGGGGAGCTGACTTTAAAGACGGGTCGGGAAGGGTGTCGAGCTCGCCCCAGCTGTTGGAAGTGTGGCGTCTCTGTGCCCTACCCTGGGTTTTGTTTGTATCCTTAAAGAAAAATAGACTGACGTTTTAAAAAATCTTTTATACTTGAACAGATTTATGGCAGTTGATACATTTTTTTACAGATGTTTGTTTGTTTGTTTGTTTATTTATTTATTTATTTATTTAT